GTGTGTGTGGCCAGCTCAGCCCACCAGGGGGCGGGGCTGGCTGGCATGTGGTGCTGGGGGATTGAACCACGGTCCCTGTGTTTTGCTTGGCTTAGCTTGTTCTAAGTAGGTGCTTTAGACCACTGAGCCATCTCACCAGCCCTAAAGATGTATTTTCTCACCTGAGTTCCCCAGAGAAAAGAATGCATGCAGAACAGACAGCAGATGTGAGCATCTTTATTGTTCAGCCTTTAAATAGTAACTGTTACCAAGATTTACATGCTTATGTACTGATGTAACCATAACCTCCTCCTGAGTGCCAGGATTACAGGCATGCATCTCTAGGCCTGGCTTGCTTTGAGTTAACATTAGCATGTGCTGCCTACCCTGGATAAGTGTCATGACCAGGAAGAGTCACAACTGAGGAGTCCTGTGGTTTTGCTTTCAGAGCTGAGGAGAGAGCACTAGGAGTGCACCAGGCCTTGAACCCTGCTGGTAAAAGGTGGTTACAGAGTCCCAGACAGCTAGCTGGGAGCTCAGGGCAGCTGAGCACCTAGCTTCTCCTTCAGCCAGGGCACTGGAACCAGAGGGGCTTTCAGGAGAAAAACATTTTTGGTCTATTTATTTTTATGGTATTGGTTGATTGAATCTAGGACCTTCACACTAAGCTATAGGCCCTGTCCTTTGTTCCTTTGTTTATTATTTATTTATTTGTTTTGTCTTTTTGAGACAGGATATCCCTGTGTAGTTCAGACTGGGCTTGCACCCACTCTGTAGCCCAGGCTAGCCTCAAACTTGCAGCAATCTTCCTGCTTCAGCCTCTTGAGTGCTGGGATTGTAGCTGTGTGCCAACACTTCTAGCTTCGGGGCTGGAGAGATGGCTCAGTGGTCTAAAGCACCTACTTAGAACAAGCTCAGCAAAGCACAGGGACTGCCTATTTAAATGTTAATTTGATTTTTGGGTTTGTTTTATATGTAAATTTATGAAGTGTGGCTATATAGATCTGGGTGAACATACAATGCTTTTTTTTTTTTTTTTTGCGGAACCAGGGATTGAACTCAGGCCCTTGCGCTTGCCAGGCAAACGCTTATTCTACTGAGCCATCTCCCTGGCCCCCATACAATGCATTTTAACAAATATAGTAAGCTTGGGTGGTCAGTGTAGCCTAATTTTTTTTTGGTAGGACCATTGATTGAACTCAGGCCCTTGCGCTTGCCCGGCAAGCACTTATTCTACTGAGCCATCTCCCCAGCCCTTGTGTAGCCTCATTAATTCCTTTTTACCCAGGTGGCTGTTATCTTTCAGTGAAAGCCTGAGATATTTTGCAGAAAGCAGAAGTTTGTTCTGGGATTTCAATTTCAAAAATAGAATCTGGACAGTTGTCTTTTAATTATGAAAGCCTGGATTTTTAAAAAATCTTTATTTGGGGTTAATTTCAAACTCTGAAAAAAGTTATGAATATAAAATTTTATGAGGAACACCTATATTTCCATTACCCAGATGCCTGTTTATCAACACTGAACTTGTTTGCCTGATTTCCAACCATTTGTGTACGTCACAGCTGTTTGCCCCTAAATCTGTGTATTCTGTTACAAACCACATCATAGTTATCAACCTCATGAGCATAGAGTGCCCCAGTACTTTCATGAAATGTTGATACTGCAGTTTTGTGAATTTACCTAGAATGTCTTGTTGACCTG